GCAAAGATTGACCTCTCATTGCTCGCCTTGAAGAACCTCTTATTCTAACCATTGGATCCATCTTTTCTTTGATTTCTCCCTTGATTCCTGCTTTTAATGAATTCCGATCGGTAAAAACCTAGAAAATGGCACGGGTAAGTGTTTAATCGGAAGAAATTTGAGGAAAAAAGGTCATATGTAGCAGATTTGAGAAGAGATTGTAGAGAAAAGCAACTAGTTTTTTGTATTCTACTACGGGGGAATTCTGAAACTGCTGCATTTCACGTTGTCTGGTATTTAAATAGGAAGTATTGTTCGAGTGCCANGCTAGTTTTTTGTATTCTACTGCGGGGGAATTCTGAAACTGCTGCATTTCACGTTGTCTGGTATTTAAATAGGCAGTACTGTTCGAGTGCCATCACCATCGTCTAGACGATGAGGATGCACTGGATTTTGCCTTGCAAGCTGCAGGCTGCTTGACTCCTAGTTTTATGTTGTTTTCCTTCTTCAATTATGATCTTGCAGTTGCAAGATTAGTTTCAAATTTACACATTCGACATAACTCACTACTCCTTACTCTTTTTTCTTTTATTTATTTATTTGTTATTTATTATTTACTTAGTTACTATTCTCCTAATTAATCTATAGCTATGCACCATTCCAAAATTATTCATCATTTGATCACAATAAATCTAAATTAGAATCTTCCAAATCAACACCAGTGACACGGTTAATTTCACTTCCCACGTATCTTGACAACATGGGAGTGGAATAGGATGGCGTCTCAGGGTATTCCTTACTCTGCCCTTACCTAATCCACTCAAGACAATCTAATGCTCAACCAGAAATTGGTTCTGCACACTGACTATATTCTCTCAAATGTATTAAACGATCACACCTCACACAACCACCGAGACAATTTGCTCGTCAGCGTTTGACAAATGAACTTTTCCCGCACAAGGGTTTTGCTTGACTTTCGACGATTTCTATCTTTCTAACAACTCTAGCTTTGCCATGATCAAAGAATGTATGTCTTTTGGAAAACGGTGCATTATCATTAAACTCAACCAAAACTGTTTTTCTGCCATGTTTTTTTGAAAAAGTTTTGAAGGTTGTGAGAATTTTTGGAAAATTTTGAAAAACTAAAACTGACTCAAAATTTGACTCACTATCCGGTTCGTTAACGCCTACTAGTCACAAAGACGAATCCAAAAGACAAAGACAAATATGAGTGAGTCACAAAGACGAATCTAAATGACAAAGACAAATATGAATGACTCCCTCCCCCCAACCTAAATTAAACATTGTCCTCAATGTATAAAATGATGAAAATAGAACATTGCTAATTAGGTCCAAAGTGAGAATTATGCATAGTATAAAACTTAAATTTGTAAAAAAAATAACAAATAATTAGTACTACTATTTACAATCAAACAACCATATAAAATTTTTAAGGCACATAAACTGGTTCCAAGAATTGTATAGAATTTACATCTTGATTAAATCTATCATAATATTGTTTAAGCCTTCGACCATTTACTTTGAAAACATTTCCAGTTAATGGATTTTCAATTTCAATTACCCCATGATAAAAAATTTTCTCATCAATGTAAGAACCTATCCATCGAGATCTTAACTTTCCAAGAAATAGACATAGTCTTGAATTATATAACAGAATTTTCTGAGAAGGTTCAAAAGACTTCTACACTATATTCTTATCATGAAAAATTTTCATTCTAGACTTAGCAGTCTTTGCATTCTCGTATACTTTATTTCTTAACTCTTTCAATTCATTGATTTGAAATTTGTGAGATGCCCCGCTTTATCTATATCAAAGTTCATCATTTTTATTGTCCAATATGCTCGATGTTCTAATTTCACAGGCAAGTGACATGGTTTACCAAAAACTAACCGATAAGGAGACATTCCTAGAATAGTTTTGTATGTAGTATGGTAAGCTCAAAGTGCATCGATTAATCTCAAAGACCAATCCTTACGATTTGGATTTACTATTTTTTCTAAAATGTATTTTATCTCCTTATTGGCCAATTCAGCTTGTCCACTCGTCTGTGGATGATAAGGGGTGGATATTTTATGAGAAATCTATTGGGAAATAGAGTTTATCAACTTGGACAAGAACATCTTGCACAATTTCTCATGGAGTTTTTGCAGATTGGTCTGTCAATTGCAATGTAACATTGGTAGGTTTCAACTGACCTAACCCTAACTATTTATAAACCGAGTATGTCATCAAATTGACATTGGCTCCAAGACCAAGCAAAGCTTGCTTAATCCAAAGATATTCGCTGATACACGAGACTGTGGGACTTCAAGGATCTTTGTACTTAAGAAGAGTCTTATGTTGAATGATAGCACTAACTTGCTCACTTAAAAATGATTTCTTTTGTATATTGATCTTTCTTTTTACCATGCAAAGATCTTTCTTTTGTATATAATCCCACATATGAGAACTCTCAGAAATAGTATCAAAAAATTGGAAAACCTCCTCAGGGTTGTTTCTCATAAAGTCCCCCTAGGCTATCATTTCAACAAACTTTCATAATGCAGATGGAAGGGCATCATAAAATAAACCAACTAAGTTTTAATTTTCAAGTGCATGATGTGGGCAGGCTTGGAGAAGATCCTTAAATCTCTCCCAATATTGATAAAAAATCTCCCATTCTTTTACAAAAAAGTTTACTATTTGACGTCTTCATGCATTAGTTCGATGCATAGGAATTTTTTTTTTTGAAAAACTCAGTTTGCAAGGCTTGCCAATTTGGGATAGAATTGAATCTTAAAGAATTAAGCCATTGTTTATCATTATCTTTCAGAGAAAAAGAAAAGTTTCAATCAGATCATCTCAGAGTTATCTTGCAAACTTCCATAGATTTCTTCAAATTCCTTGATATGCACATAGGGGGTTTTCAGATTCCAAACCATGAAATTATGGTAGCAACTGTATTATCCCTGCCTTAATATTAAGATTTGGAGCATTTGTTAGAAAAAATAAAGAATGATGGGACATTGGTACGTGTACGGTCTAAATATTCTCTTAAATATTGGACATTATGAACTACTTGTTCACTAGGATTATTTTGAGCCATACTTAAGTCAAATGATGCTTGTGAAGATGAAGATGACTGATTTACAAAACCTACTGATGAATTAACAGACATAAACCATTAAAAGAAAAAAAACAATAAATAAACATATAATACAACTAAAAAACTTCTCTATTCAAATTAGAATCACCGTAACTCCCCGGCAACCACGCCAAAAACTTGATTCGATCTGTTTTGTGGCATGTTTTACATCATACACACAAATATAAGTGGTCAAATTGTAGTTTTCACAGTTTAAGTCTGAGGTCGATCCCCTGAAGAGTTTTAATAATTGGGATTTATAATAAAAACAGTGAAATTGTTATAAAAGTATTGTAACATGAGATAGCTTGTGATATGAGCTTAAAATTGATAAATAAACTGCGTAAATAAAATACGTACATAACTGGTGAAATACAATAATATAAAAGGTACCCTTCAGTTCAAGGATCGTATATGCGTTATATTGGTTGAAGTATTGGAAATGTCATCTTAGAACAATTAACTCATGGGTCACCAAAAAATCAACCGGTAAGTTTGATGTATATTGAACTATAACACAACTACTGTTCAAGTTAACTAGAAGGTATATACAACAATCAAATAATCCAAGTAAACTAGAAGGTATATGCAACAATCAAATAATCCAAGTAAACCAGAAGGCAAGCCATTAAAGAGGAATACTTGAATTATTCAATTGGAAATTATGTACTATGCATTAGTTAAACAACCCTAGTGAACTAGAAGGCAAGCCATTCAATTGGAACGCTATAGTTATTCAACCGGCAGGTTGATAATTCACTGATGACGAGATTTTGGTTTATGCATTGAATCAAAAGCATTAGCTATCTCGAAACTTAACCCATCTATAACCAATCAATCAACTGTTACGTAATGCCTAATCACGTACATCACTGTATCATGCATGAATTACATAACTAGTAGATAGTATGGTATAGAATATTAAGTACTGGTCGATGATCATAACCATGAGCATATTATAAATATCACCTTCCATCAATAAGGGGAGGTATATATAACAATAAAGAATAATTAAACATTGGCATTCCTATAACTTAACTAGTAATATATATATGTTTACCTTTCACTTAAGGGTAGAAGTGAACTACTCACACCCCATTGCTATAAACAAGCAAGAAGTGCGAGGCAGTTTCATTATAGTACTAAATAAAATACTGGCACTCCTTCCCCTAAGGAATAGTTGAACACGACCACCTTAATATCGATTAAGGCACAAAGATGGCAGCAGTTCAACCCTCCAAGTAGAAAGGTAGAATAGAAATGTAGAAATAATAGAAGCTTTGGCATGAGAGTAGGTTAGACAGGATCTCTCTTGTTTTCACTTTGAATCCCCCTGAATCTCCCTTAGTTTCTCTCTTGGACTTGGACTTAAGCTTCCATTCTTTAGACCCCCAAAAATGTGGCTGGCAAGGCATATTTATAGGCCTAGGAATCTCTTGGAATGTGGAAGAAGGAAGTAAAGCAATTTAGCAACCATCCAGACACCATCACCACCGTCTGGACGGTGCTAAACCTCTAGATTTTGGTGGTGAAGTTCCACTTTGTTCTGGCATGTTCTTGTTATAATTTCATTGGCATCCCTTGCTGGTTTAGACTTTGACTGATTGCTCCCCACAATTTTCGCAAAAAACCCTGAAATTAATAACATTAACGCATTAACTCTAATTTACGCACTAACCCTAATTTCACAAAATTTTACTATTTTAACTTATTTAACTAACACAATTAATCTATTTAATTTACTTTAATTGCATATTAATTAGGTTTAATCATGGTACCATGAAAAATTGGAGGTCAAACCAGTAACACACTAAGTATTTTTTAGCAACATGAGCAGTTGATGATGCATAAGAGAGAAAACGGTAACAAGCTGACCAGAAAAAGTAGCAACATGGAACATTGAGAGAAAACGAGAGCTTGACAAGAGAAATCATCGTTAGGGAAGACGAGATCATCCTCCTCAAAAACAAGTGCCTCTCCGAGTATGACTATGTGCAGCCTAGGTATCTTGCTAGCCCTCGAAGGTAGAGTGGCCACCGATTCCACATGCCACAAGTGATCCGATATTGTCACATTTTTTCGAGGACTAGGAATAAAAAAAGATCTCTCTAGAGGAGTATCCATTGGTGTCAACCTCACAACAATGACCACTAACTCCTAATCTAATTATTATTTTGCTGCAACTACACAAAGGGTGGTGATAGTAAAGGTAGTTTTGATGGTCAATGAAACATAACCACGATAGAGGAATAAGAAAACCAAAACGTAAGATATGTAATGGAGACTTTGTGTTGCCGTTGAAGAAGGGCATGTTGAAGTTAGACTTTGAATTAATGAGAAATATCAGACTGGGGACAGGTTCATAGGCAAAACTATTATTAGTACTATATTTGTATCCAGGAGAGAGGGCCATTCTTTCATTTTCCCTTTCCCCCTTTTATTAATGATAATTGGGAGGGTTTTGAGAGGGAGGATTTTGTGAGGTTTTCACTCTTGAATTTGAAATTAAAATTTTATGGAAAAATATTATTGGCAAATCTCCATTTAGTGTGAAGCAAGGATAACTAGTTTGCCCAATTTGAAAATTGCCTTCAACGTCATATATACACAAAAACATAAAACATAAAAATAATGGATTTTTGGTAAAAAGAAAAAAATTGGACTTATCTACTTACTAAAAAGATAAGAATGAGATTTCACACTATATATGTTTAATGCATTGACTTAACTCATTATAAGTTTTTTTAAAGAAGACTGACCCCCAATTATCACTTAATTATAGTAGTCGTATTTTAAAAAAAAAATACAAACCCATTTAACTTTCCATCTATAACTTCCCATGTAAAACTGCCTATCTCCCTCATGGCTCTCTATCACATCCATGACTAATATTTTCTTAACATTTTCTCCTTCTCTCATCCTTGACCAACATTTATTTCGAAAAACATCACACACACATCTATTTACAGATCAATTGAGTGTGCCTAAGGATGGAATCAAAATTTTATTCTAAGGGCAATCAAATAATGACAATTTAGAATTTTATTTATCAAGTTTATTGAACAAGTTTTTGTTAGGACATATTCTTAGTTATGCAGAGCCGCTTGGGCTCTAAAAAAGAAGGTTCCAAGCAAATCAAACTACAATATCTTCCATCTTAGATTGTCTCCGTCCTTCTTCTTAGTAAGTGAGAGTGGTTGAATAGGACTAGCCTTTTTCCTTTTGCCAAAGAAAAAAGTTGATAAGAGAGTGAAAGACAAAAAAAAAAGTCAGAGAAGTATAGCCAGTCGAGTACCACATAAGGAGAAAAATGTCATCCTCTTAAAGCAAAGAATCCAACGACTCCCCCCTCCTTTTTTGCTTATTCCAGTTTGATATGCCAAAGTGAACCTCAGCAAAAGAAAAGAGTGGAATTCATTTTAGGAAAAGTCATGTTCCTTCGATTTCGAATAGGATCAAAGAGGATAGAGTGAGTTCAATTTGTAGGCATAGGTGGTGGTAAACTCCTCTTTCCGATAGTAGAAGGGAAGCTCGTTAGGTTAGCTCGTCCAGAAAGAAAAAGCACATATGACTTCTGTGAGCGAGTGTAGCCTTTCGTGTAACACTTATTCTACTAGTACTAACGATAAAAACGTTCAAATCCTTTTGTTGAGATGCTTCTGACTTTTCTTTTGAGATCCCTTTGGGAAAAGAATCCAACTCCTTTCTCGTATAGCTCAAGTGGTTTATAGAATCAATCCTTTCTATCCAGTGTAGCTAGTTACGGAGAGGGAAGTTTGACTGATATCGAAATGGGCTCATAAGCAAATCCTAAGTAATCGATGTTGTCCATTGGATTCTGGAGGAAAAACTTCATTAGGATTGGGGAATTGCAGTGATTCTTCCTAAATAACTTGGATTCTCCCATTGAGAGTCACTTTGAAAGTCTTACCAAAACTCTTCCGACTGAATATGATAAAGCCTATAAAGGAACGAGCTAATATCATTTTTTCATTATAGATTGAGATCTTCTTCGAACTTGAAGCACAAATAGATGGAATAACAACAAATAGCATCTTTATAGCCTACATATTCATGGAACTCAATCTCATTTAGAAGTGGTTTAGGAAAGGATTTTGTAATTGGATGTGCTCGCCCAGTGAAAAAGGCCTTGACCTTACTAACCAAATCAAAATCAAAAAGAAAGAAGGGAACGAAAGTAGAAAATAACTTCTTTTTTTGGTAACTCACTAGGAGTCATGTTTAACCATAGACTTTGAAGGAATGGGGAAGTGAAGATATTTAATACTTGAATAGTAATCATAAAACAAGAAAACCCTATTACTAGAAAATGTCTATTGAAGAAAAAGGACTCGATTAAAGGACTCATGCAAGACTTATTTCAGATCTATCCCTTCGCATGCTTTTAAGGTTTGAACTAAACCAATATCAAGCTAAATAGTCATTACCATCATAAAAATTAGTTTAGTATTCTTCTGTTCTCTTATTTATGATATGATGCATGTAATGTGGTCGAATTAATTATTTTCAAAAATAGTTGGTTCAAATAAGACTAATAAAAATTAGTTGTGAATTAGTGAATTGTTTTTGCTGAATTTCTTTTGTAATCTAGTTTTGCAAGAATTTCACTTCTTATCCTATATTTGGTGTCGTCCTTGCTTATGCCACAACATTTAGGAACTAAAATATTATGTTTGGTATGTAGGAATAGAGCATGATGTTGAAATGACTAAGTAATATCCATTCTAATGCTTGGTATGTTTTAATGAAAATTTATCTCATTGTCATGAAAATGTCTAATCCCAAAAATGTAGGTTTAGTCAATCATTTCTTTATATAAGGTTTATTACGCATTACCAAGTTACTCAAAGATAAGTTCAAATTCACTTACAACAAAAGACCAGACCCATTACCCCCACCACCACTTCCACCATCACCCCCAACTAACACCACCTAAACCACCACACCACTTGCCATCAATATAACCCCCAACCACCACCACCCCCAAACCCACCCCTATCTCTAGCACCCCACCTGCACCTTCCCATTACTACGCAATTAATAACCATATTTTCCATCATCGCCACCAACATTGGGGTCGAATGGTTGGTTTAAGATTTAGGTCTCAGGTTCCAAGTCCAAGGTGAGGGCCTAATTCCCATGTCTGGGTCTGATTTTTCGTGTTGTGGGAGCAGCCTCCCTAGTCCTAGGGTTTAAGATATAGGTTTGGGATTCAGGTGTGAGACCTCAAGTCTGAGGGTCCAAGGTCTGGGTCCTAGTCCCAAGTTTGTATAAATGAATTTATCCAAAATTTTGATTGAATTTTGAATTCAATATTAAAAAAAAAATCTTGGTTAGAATAATAATGACAATCTATTTCATTGTCAAGCTTTATTCCATTTCTATACTCATTTCATCCCAATTAAAAACATTACCTACAATCATTTGTGTGGGTTTGGTGCTAGTTTAGTGTTATCATCGATAGATGACATAAAAGTTACGTGAAAGAGATGAGAAAATCAAAGATAAAGTAAGGAAAAGGTAAATCTTGGTGTGAATTTCTATAATATAGCAAAATTACTTATTGGATTTTTTGATTTGTATCATACATGTAAAACCCGGGTAAATTTGAACTTTTTATAAAAAAGGGCAAAAAGATAATTTTCTGTTACAGTACGGGTTACAAACTTGAATTTTTCTAGAGTTCGGATGATGAAATGGAGATGATCAGGTCTCGGGTGACCCAAAAATAAAATTTTGAAAGTTTAAAAATAATTTAAAGTAAGGTGAAATAAAAATATTTTCAACATGAACGGGGGGAAAATTTAATCTTTTCGGGGCAAAAATAAACCTGGAAAAAGAGGGTCATGTGGCGCAATGAGGACCAAGTGTTTAGGGAGTATAAAAAGGAGAGAAATATCATATGTCTCTCCATTTGGTCTGCTAGTTCTCACATTGGGGAGGAAAAGGGGGAAAAAGCTTGGGTTCTCCACCTTCTCTCTATGATCTACGAAAATCGGGTGCTCGAATTCACTCGGGCCAAGAACAAAAGTTTTTCTCCTCGTCGAGGGCTACAAAACCATACCAAGGGGGGTCAGGTTTGGGCAAGATTTCAAGGACGGGATTTTGGGCAAGTGAAGAGTCAAGCTTGAATCGGGTTCTTGAAGCTTTTCAACGTTGTTTTACGCTTCAAGAGGTAGGATTTCATCCTAATTAGGTTTATTTTCAACCTAGAATGTTTATATGGAATGGGTGAGTGGTTAGATAATTTTAACCCTTGCCTATTGTGATGAGATTGGTGAAATGGGCATGGAAAATAAATAAAATAAATTCCATCTTGAATTAGGTATGTGAGATTAACCTAATGCGATTTTTTGAGTTATGTGTTTATGTTATGCCTTGATGAATTTAGTGTGTTGATAGCATGATTATGTGATAAGACGCTTGGAAATTGTGTTGTAGGAATTGTTGTTATATATACATACTTCTGATATATTGGCATTAATGGGTTATAGAAATTATATGCTTGGATATAATTGCCCATGGAATGTGTTGAAATAGTTCATATGTCATTCATAGCATATTGGACATTATATTGTTGTTGCAATGGTACATCACATTGTATATGCACGGAGACATCGCATCATGAGGGTATATGAGTGCACGGTTGTCGTCAACACCACACTTGGTGGATGACGGGTGGGCTTGGGAAAGTTAGGTCAAAGGCCTGGCTGAGTCGCATGGTTTGCATGATAAATTGGGTTGGGGTTAGCAAGAAGGGCTAGAAAATCCCTTGGGTGCAAGACCCGATAGTCGGGGTATGCACTCCATTGGTTCGGTCCATAAAGTGTGTGGGTGTACACGAAACCCTTGGTATAAGTCCATAAATTCCGTGTGGGTTGGGTTACCCTTGGTGTAAGTCCACAAATACCTACCCCAAAAAGCCCCTAGATTTATAAATGTCATTTGATGTGACACATAAATGACGAATTCATACACATCGGCATAACATATGTTGTGGGATCTGGTGAGGGCTTAGGTTGAGTGCATGAGTGAGTCTCATCTCATTTCATGGCATGATATAGGATTCTTATCATTGAATGCATATTCTTGATTGAAATGTT